TGCTACTCATGCCTTCTGTGTTGATATTTTGCCACCCGCAATCGAAAGACAGGTGCATCGTCGGCCTGGCCAGTAGCGGGTGCTCTGCAGTAACTCGACCCCGGGTTGGTTGGTTGGTACAGTAAACTCTTGACTTCGTCAAGGGTCATTCCTGCACACAAACATTTGTTCCAGCACACAAACATTTTCACAAAGCTGTTTGTAATTGTGACTAAGGGCATGGTGCTTCGCGAAAATGTAGGTTGCGCAACTCGGTCGAGTTGCGCAACTCGTGAAAGTAACGTCATTCATAAATAATCGCCTAACAAGTTGACGAATAAATTGAGAGAGATGCGTAACTCGGGTTGCGCAAATCCAAAAATTGTTGCCTTCGCGCCGCCACGCGCGAAAGGAGCAAATGGAGATGCGAAAAGTTTATCGCTCCATGAGTCTCGTAACGGAGGTTTCGCGTTTCATTTCAGGCACCTCGCATTCTTCTAGATGAGTTGTGATTCCCACCGAAAAGCGCAATCCGAGGTTCCAGTGTCGGGTTGCGCTCGATGAGATGGATTTCGCAATTGCACTTCCCGAGTTGCGCAACTTGGCCCTGTTTTGCCGAAGTACCACGCCCTAAGGACCAATCACCAGGCTCCTCTCACGTGCGCTGTGACGAGGGATGTGATTCCGGTCAAGGACCAATCACGCCCCTCACACGTACGCCATAACACACCCCAGTCCAACCGTGATTTGTGGGGGGGGTGGGGCGGGGGGGTATCGAGAAGACTCTGTTTCAGGCTGGAATACCGTTAAGGCTGATAATCCAGGGTGACCAAAACAAGAACAGACGATGTTTCGGGCCTGCTCAAATGAGAACCCCTAAAACTCAGCCTAGGGAAAATCAGAAGCTGAAAAAATAGGACGACCTTAAAAAAAACACCATGCTATACAACATTTCAAGGCATTTTGACTTGACTTCTGAAGCCCTGCTTCCGAGCCCCGAGTGTGTTTCATGGCCCTTTTCGAGGCTCCCTTGAGACGCTATCTGTGCTTGTATTTAGCCCTATGCTTCATTTGTACTCGCCACACTTTAATCACTACCTCTTTATTGCGTTACTCAACTCCTATCCGGAGATTATCATAACACTTTGCATCAAAGCTACGTTCCTGCCCATTTAGGCTTTCATAGTGAGGTCGTTTTCAGAGGGACCACGCACGTTAGGAGACAGGAGTTGTCTAGCGGTCGCGCATGAACTTCTTCAGTTCCATCGACTTTGTCGTTCGCACTCCACGTCTCTAATGCTGCAGGTGCACGTAGTGTCTGTTACGGGCGTTAGCTAGTTAGGGTAGTTCATGATCAATAGTCCTCCCCGCCGTAATACTAGAGCAAATCGCTGAACTGTCAGAGGCGGCAGCGAGCGCATCAGTACTGACAACGAAAGTTGGCGAAATGATGGCGGAGATGGAAGCCATGTCCCTGGAGCTCGCCGCATTGAAAGAAGAGAGCGTGAGCCTTCGCTAGGTGCGTGGTGCTGACGTATCAGGAGTCGCCTGTTACCGTGGACGAAGATCGTGCGAGCGCGCATCAACCGCAGGCGACGTCAGTACGAGCGAGCGACGGGGACTTGTGAAGATAAAACTTGCAATGCCTCCGCCGTTCAATCCACTGGAGAAGCACACGACGCTGAGTGGGTGGCTGTTCGACGTGGAACTGTTCCTCAATGTCGTCAATGTCAACGACGTTCAGGGACGCGTCAAGTTGGCGATGTCTTTATTACACCGTCCTGCTTTAAATTGGTGGCGGCAGTACGTGACGTCACGAGGGACTCCAGTAGACCGGCAACAGGCGATGGACAAGGAGCAACGATTGACTTCAACCTCTACAGGATCCTTATTTGGTGTGGCCAAGAACCTGACCTGGCAACAGTGGGGTGCAGTGCTTTGCAAGCGCTTCGAGCATGTATCCGCATGTGAAAACGCTCGTGTAAAGCTGCAGGGGTTGCGTCAAATGGGCTCTGTTATAGAGTACACGTCATCCTTCCTCGCCATCTGCGAAAAAATCGACGATCTACACCAGACAAAGAAAATGAGTTGGTACTTCCTAGGCCTGAAGACGGAGGTCCAATGAGAAATCCGCATGTGCCGCCCGACGACGTTCTTGGAGGTGCAGCAGGTCGCAGCGGCGTGGGACGAAAATAGTTTATGGCTGAGAGCGAATGTCTAGGAGGGAAGTCGTTTTCAAGGGCAAAACATTTGCCATCCATCAACGGCGTGGCAACACCGTCAGAAAATATATTTTGTGGCAGGTGTTATCGTTGTGGCGAGCCGGGTCACATCATGCGGGACTGTCCGGAGTTGCAGCAATCGGCAGGTGAGGACAGAAGGAAGCCGTAAAATGGACAGCATCAATAGCAGTTGGGCACCCTACTGATGAGGCTTCGTCGCCCGAAGTTCACCCTTCCCACCGAGTAGTAGTGCCGATCTATGTGATCGACCACATCCGGTTAGTGGGGGGTGAACTTGTTGACTGCCCTGTGCTGGTGGAAGGACGCGTTAGCAACACCCATTTAAAAATATTCGTGGATGGTGGAGCATCACACAGTCTGTTCGATGTGACAAGAGCAAAGAACTTACAGCTGCAAATGGAGCGGTACATGTCCGAAATCGACGCGCGGTTGGTCGACGGCACGCCACTTGCAATTCGGGAGCGGGTGAAACATGTTTACATTGATTGTGACAGCCCAGTCAGTTTCGCCATGGAAATGCTGGTGAATATATTGGACTGTTGCGATGTGCTCCTGGGACGAGATTTGCTTCGCACGTACAATCCGAGCATCGATTGGAGGAATGGCGACATTCGCTTGAAGTGGGGTGGCGAGTGGCGACGACTGCCGAAGTGGAAACCACCCAACCCATAGTCAACACTAGTGAACAACGTCATGATCAAGCGCATGATGGCAAGTGGCGTGGACATCTACGCCTTCCAATGGATTGCATCGACGGAGGTGGCGGAACAGACCGACCTCGAGAATCTCTGCGCTGCTGTAGATGAGGACCTGAAGAAGATCATGCACAAGTATGACAACATATTTCCATATGACCTGCCGCCCGGCCTACCACCCGAACGACCACACGATCACACCATCGAGCTGGAACCTAAAGCGCAACCGACCGTATGATCCCAATGGAGGTTGAGTCAACCGGAGCTGCTGGCTGCGTATCCAACTAAATTATCTGCTGGAGAAAAAAATCATATGCCCATCCACATCACCCTACGCAGCGCCGATTCTCTTCAGCTCCAAAAAGGACGGAGGGCTTCGTATGTGTACAGACTACTGTGCGCTCAACAACATCACCATCAAGTCGCGTTACCCGATCCCACGAGCCGACGATCTCATCGACCAAATTCGCGAGGCCAGGATTTCCTCCAAGATCTATCCGCGAGGGGGTTACCACCAGATTCGTGTCGCTGAAGCTGATATTCCGAAGACAGCATTTCGTACCCGGTTACAAAAGTCACGAGTATACCGTTATGTCATTTGGGTTGACGAACGCACCCTCAACGTATCAACTGACCATGAATGAAGTCTTCCGCTCACTATTGGACAAGTGCGTCATCATGTACCTGGATGATATCATTGTGTACAGCAAAACCCGGGAGCAACATTTGAAGGACCTGTAAGCAGTTTTCGCCCTCTGCGATCAACACCGCCTCATCACCAAAGGCTCAAAGTGCGAGTTCTTAAAGGAGGAGTTGAAGTTCTTGGGCCACGTCATCTCCACTGAAGGCGTTAAAATTGAGCTGAAGCATAACGATACCATTCGCAACTGGGGGTCGCCTACCAACGTCAAAGAGTTGTAGAGTTTTCTGTGGTTCGTCAACTACGTGCGTCGTTTTATCCCTAAACTGGCAGAGTCAACTGCCCCACTGACCGACTTGCTGCAGAAGGGCGTTTTTATGAGTGGGGAGAGGCAGCAAGCTGCGTTTGACCAACTGAAGACTTTCCTCATGACACCACCCGTTCTTTGTATCACCGACCCTGACCGCTGGTACGAACTAGTTACGGATGCCAGCGACATCGCCATTGGCGCGATACTGTTACACGACTTTGACAAAGGCCTGCAGCCAATCGTCTAAGATTCGCGAAAACTCCAAGGCGCTGAACGGAATTACCTGGTCCACGACAAGGAAATGCTCGTGATCGTTAACGCTTTCAAGACCTGGTGCTGCTACCTATCAGGTGCCGACGTTACTGTCCAAACAGACCACAAGTCCTTACAGTTCCTCCAAGCCCAACCAATCCTCAGTCCCTCAGTTCATCCAAGCCCGACTAGGGAGTTATACGCATGCAGGCTCCTTGGAAATGCGTTCAGTTTGGTGCAGGTTGTGTTCAAGAATCCTGAGTGGGAACAGTGTTCTCCAGTGTTGTCTTCTGCTGCGGCACTCGCATTCTTTTTGCCTCCAGTGGAACAGCCCAATCGTCAACAACCTCAGTTCACAACCCCCGAGGGTCACGAGATTTGCGTGTGCTAAACCGGGTTACCCTTTTTCCCACGAAAATGAGTTCAGGAATCCGGAACTTGAAGGCAAACCATTCTGAACTCTGGCTTTTTAACGTGTGTCATTGGAATTTGCACATTTAATATAGAGCCTATGCACTGAGAGAGCAGTCCTACTACAAAGTCGCCGCAGCTTGCTATCGAACCCCCTAACCTTCCAGAATGCTATGTTGGGAGCTTCCCACGCTTTCTGCGAAATGACGTCACTGGGCGTAACCTCGCGAGCGCATGACATCACAGTGTGGGGCAGCTTCCGATGGCCACCCGTCAACCATCGCTACAGCGACATGTCGGATAATCTGACCAATAGCATTCGTACTGTACTTCTCATATTGGCTGGCACGCGCTCTGGTCGGGTCCTGCAGCATGCCATGTTCTCCCGCATCCCGTGTTCCCCCAAAACTCCCCATCCCCCATAAAGACAGATTTCGTCTCACGTTTCGCCACTCTGAGAACTCCACTTCTCTTTCTGGTCACACAGTCGCATGCGTCATTCCGTTGGTACAACTGTACTTTGGTCAGGCGGTCGCAATGCCGAGTGACATTTCTGTTGGTGAGTTGAGTAGCCTCCCCTCCCCTCCCACGCAGGATTGTGTGCTGTTTACCCTCCCCATTCAAATTTCTCTCATGGCTTCCGCCTGACGGCTCCCTCTGAGGCAGCGCCAAAGCAAGCCGAGTCAATGCGCAATTCAGTCCGTTATCATTTCCAGCACCCCAAACGAGTCATATCCAAAGTTGCCCGCGTCGATTCATCGGATCCCATGGCACCTGGCAGGCAAATTCGATCCAGCAGCGCCGAGCGTCGCAGCAGCATGGGCGCGGCTGCAGCACCTGCCTCCCGCGGACCGCCTGCACACGGCGCTGCTGCCCGCCGCCAAGGGCAGAAAGGAGGGCGAGGGGGGCGGGGGGCTGGTGGCGGCGGACGTGCGCACGCTGAGGCGCGCGCAGCGGGAGCAGGTTGTGGAGCGCGCGCTGGGGACGGTGGAGGCGGACAACGAGGCGTTCCTCCAGAAGCTCGCACGCCGCGCCGACCGGTGAGCTCCTCGTGGACGGCGGGAGTGAACCGCGCTGGCTCGCGACCCATGGAGAGGACGGAAGGGCGATCGCGAAACAGGAATTCATGCCGCCCTTCCCCGTCGCCCCGTTGCTCATTCCGCCCTTCCCCATCGCCCCGTTGCTCATTCCGCCCTTCCCCATCGCCCCGTTGCTCATTCCGCCCTTCCCCATCGCCCGTTGCTCATTCCGCCCTTCCCCATCGCCCGTTGCTCATTCCGCCCTTCCCCATCGCCCCGTTGCTCATTCCGCCCTTCCCCATCGCCCCGTTGCTCATTCCGCCCTTCCCCATCGCCCCGTTGCTCATTCCGCCCTTCCCCATCGCCCCTTTGCCGATTCCGCCGCCCTTCCCCGTCGCCCCTCTGCGCTTTCCGCCCTTCCCCATCGCCCCTCTGTCCATTCCGCCGTTCAACCATCGCCCCTCTTCCCATTCCCCTCTGTCCATTCCGCCCCTCCCCATCCCCTCGGTCCATTCAGTGCCCTCCCCCGATGCCCCTCAGTCCATTCCCCCCTCCCCCATTGCCCCTCAGTCCATTCCCCCCTGCCCCATTGCCCCTCAGTCCATTCCCCCCTGCCCCATTGCCCCTCAGTCCATTCCCCCCTGCCCCATTGCCCGTCAGTCCATTTCCCCCTGCCCCATTGCCCTCAGTCCATTTCCCCCTGCCCCATTGCCCCTCAGTCCATTCCCCCCTCCCCATTGCCCCTCAGTCCATTCCCCCCTCCCCCATTGCCCCTCAGTCCATTCCCCCTCCCCCATTGCCCCTCAGTCCATTCCCCCCTCCCCCATTGCCCCTCAGTCCATTCCCCCCTGCCCCATTGCCCCTCAGTCCATTTCCCCCTGCCCCATTGCCCCTCAGTCCATTCCCCCCTCCCCCATTGCCCCTCAGTCCATTCCCCCCTCCCCCATTGCCCCTCAGTCCATTCCCCCCTCCCCCATTGCCCCTCAGTCCATTCCCCCCTCCCCCATTGCCCCTCAGTCCATTCCCCCCTCCCCCATTGCCCCTCAGTCCATTCCCCCCTCCCCCATTGCCCCTCAGTCCATTCCCCCCTCCCCCATTGCCCCTCAGTCCATTCCCCCCTCCCCCATTGCCCCTCAGTCCATTCCCCCCTCCCCCATTGCCCTTCAGTCCATTCCCCCCTCCCCCATTGCCCCTCAGTCCATTCCCCCCTGCCCCATTGCCCCTCAGTCCATTCCCCCTCCCCCATTGCCCCTCAGTCCATTCCCCCCTCCCCCATTGCCCCTCAGTCCATTCCCCCCTCCCCCATTGCCCCTCAGTCCATTCCCCCCTCCCCCATTGCCCCTCAGTCCATTCCCCCCTCCCCCATTGCCCTTCAGTCCATTCCCCCCTCCCCCATTGCCCCTCAGTCCATTCCCCCCTGCCCCATTGCCCCTCAGTCCATTCCCCCCTCCCCCATTGTCTCATCCCCTCGATCCATCCCGCCCTTCCCCATCGCCCCTCGGCCCCCCCCTGCCTGGCAGCGCGGGGCTGCAGCTGCCGTCAGTGGAGGTGCGCTTTGAGCACCTCCAAGTGCAGGCGGCCGTGTACGTGGGGGGGCGCGCGCAGCCCTCGCTGCCCAATTCCGCGCGCAACGCACTCGCGGTGAGCGCCGCCCTGCTGCTGCCCAACCACCCAGCTCTGAAACTCGCCCATCAGCCTGCCTGCGCGCCTCTGCCTTACTCCCTTGACAAAATCCACGTTACCTCTTGAGCGCGAGTCACGCCATCCCACTCGTTACTATCACAGCCTCCCTCGCATGTCCCTCTGCCTCGTCCTCTGCTCTGCATCTTCACATCTCATCACCCACCATCTCCTCACATCTCCTCACCCACCATCTCCTCACATCTCATCACCACGCTTGGTGCTGCTGTTCTTCCTGCTCGTCTGCACTGCCTTCTTCCCAACCCCCTCCCACCTCCGATTCACCAACCCCCGTCTTCTGCCTTCTCCATACTCGCCCCTCAACCCGTCCTCCCATCACCCACCTCTTTTCCGTGCCTTCCCTCCTTTCCCCCATCGCCCTCCCCCTGTTCACCCTGTCCTCTCGCCGCCCTCCTCGGCAGTCTGCGCTTCGTGCACTGCGCCTGGTGCCGGACGCACGCCGCCCCTACCCCATTCTGAACGGGTGCTCGGGCGTGCTGCGCCCGGGCCGCATGACGCTGCTGCTAGGGCCGCCGGGCGCCGGCAAGTCCACGCTCCTGCAGGCGCTGGCGGGCTGCCAGGACCAGTCGCTCAAAGTCAGGCTTGTAACAGGGCTGCTGAGGCTTATAACAGGTACAGGTCAGAGGTTGTTCTTAGAAGGTATCAGAGTGTAGGCGCTTCATCTGAGCCCGGAGGGTGAGGCAGGGCGTGGTGTGACCAGCAGCTTCTAACCAACCGCTAACCGCTGTTCACAATCAACCCTCGTTCAGAATTTGCCTCGACTTGCACTGACCCGTGTTGCACATTTGGCCTAATTCCGCATGAACTGATCTCGTTGCCTTCCCGAAGCCCGTCCTTCATCCCCTCCTCTTCCCCCTCCCCCTTCAGATGTCCGGCAGCGTGACCTACAATGGGCATGCCCTGGGCGAGTTCGTGCCTGAGCGCACGGCGGCGTACGTGCCGCAGACAGACGAGCACATTGGCGAGCTGACTGTCCGCGAGACGCTCGACTTCTCTGCGCGCCTGCAGGGCCCGGGGCTCAGGAAAGGTGGGTGGAGTGGGGGGCTGTGGGGGGCAGGGCTTGGGAAAGAGGGACAGCGCGTGGGAATTTCATGTCAAGGTGGGTCCCTCACTTTTTTCTTGTCGTCATTCCACTCCCTGTCTTCCCTCTCCTTATTCCTTCCCCCTTCCTTTGGCCCCCACTCATTCACTCTCTCCCCCCTCCCCCTGGCGCCCCTCCCTCCGTTGTCCACGTGGCGGCGGTGCTGCAGGGCTGGTGGCGGAGCTGGATAGGCGCGAGGCGGAGCGCGGCATCGTGCCAGACGCCGCCATGGACGCCGCCATGAAGGTGCGCCGCCCTGCAATGCAGCCTCCTCCCGCCTGCTGCCCCTCGTCCACCGAGTCCCATTCTTCGCCTACCCTCTCTTGTCGTCTTGCACAGTCCCATCTCTTCCCTTTCTTCTGGTTTTTTTCCGCGCTTCCATTTCATCTCTCCATGCCCTTCCTCTCCTCCGTGCAGGCCATGGCAGTGGAGAGCAACCCCACCAACGTCATCACGGACTATGTGCTCCAGGTGACCCAACAGCTAGCGCCACCTTTTGACTTGCGCAGCTCTATGCCATGTGCCCCGTGCCCCGTGCTCCGTGCCCCATGCCCCTTGCCCCGTGCCATGTGCCCCGTGCGGAGGAGGTGTTCCCCACACACGGCTGAGCTGTGCACACGGCTGAGCTGGGGCAGCTCTAACATCCTCGCACTGCCTCTCATGCCGTCTGCCCCCCTAGATCCTCGGCCTGGACGTGTGTGCCGACACAGTGGTGGGCAATGGCATGTTGCGCGGCATCTCGGGCGGGCAGAAGAAGCGTGTGAGCACGGGCGAGGCGCTGGTGGGCGGCAAGCAGGTGCTGCTGCTGGACGAGATCAGCACGGGGCTGGACTCCTCCACCACCTTCCTCATCACGCGCTGCCTGCGCCACCTCACCCACCTGCACCGCGCCACCACGCTCGTGGCGCTGCTGCAGCCCGCCCCTGAGACGTACACCCTCTTTGACGACGTGCTGCTGCTCTCCGAGGGCCACGTGGTGTTCCACGGCCCGCGGGAGGCCGTGCTGCCCTTCTTCCGCGCACTGGGCTTCCACTGCCCCGCCCGCAAGGGCGAGGCGGACTTCCTGCAGGAGGTGACGTCCATCAAGGACCAGGGGCAGTACTGGAGCGATGCCACCCACCCGCACCACTACGTGCCCGCGGTGGCCTTTGAGGCCGCCTTCAACGACACACACCTGGGCAAAGCGGCTGCTGCCCACCTCTCCGTATGTGCTCTGCTCGTTGTGTTTGCTCTGCTCATGGTATATGCTGTGCTCCACTCACCCCTTGTGCCCGCCACTCACCCCTTGTGCCCTACTTTGAAATCCTCCCAACCGCCACCTCAGGTGCCCTACCCCAGGGAGAAGAGCCCTCCCGGCGCCCTAGCTCACGAGCGCTACGCACTGCCGCCCACAGCCATGGTGGCGGCGCTGCTGGCGCGCGAGTGGGCGCTCATGCGGCGCAACGGCGTGCTGTACGCGGCGCGCACGGTGCAGACAGTGCTGCTGGCGCTGGCCGCCATGACCGTCTTCCTGCGCTGCACGCTGCACGTGGCGGTGCGCGACGGCGCCTACTACCTGGGTGCGCTGTTCTTCGCGCTGCTCATGATGCTCTTCAACGGCCTCTCCGAGATGGCGCTACTCACCGCCCGCCTGCCCGTCTTCTACCGCCACCGCGCCGCGCTGCTCTACCCTGCGTGGGCATGGGTGGCGCCCATGGCGCTGCTCTCGCTGCCCTTCTCTGCGTGGGCGTCCGCCCTCTGGGCCGCCCTCACCTACTACACCATCGGCTTCGCCCCCGAGCCGGGCAGGTGATGCGGGAGAGGTGGGCTGGGAGAGGTGAGCACAGCTGTTCGTGGCTCAGTGGGCTTGGGAGCGCCGCACGAGTGAGGCGAGGCATGGGGAGAGGCGTTGCGTGAAGGCAAAGCATCCCTACAGTGGCTTCACTTGGAGGCCCGGATCGCACCCATACCTTCCCTCCCCCCTCTCCCCCCATCTCTTCTCCTCTCTTCCTCACACTCTCCCCTCCACCCTCTCCTCAACTCGACTCTAGTTGATCGCTGTGGCACATCTCTGCGGCACTCGCACCTCCCCATCCTGCGCGATCACTTCCCCATCCGGCGCCATCACTTCCCCATCCGGCGCCATCACTTCCCCATCCGGCGCCATCACTTCCCCATCCGGCGCCATCACTTCCCCATCCGGCGCCATCACTTCCCCATCCGGCGCCATCACTTCCCCATCCTGCGCCATCACTTCCCCATCCGGCGCCATCACTTCCCCATCCGGCGCCATCACTTGCCCATCCTGCGCCATCACTTCCCCATCCGGCGCCATCACTTCCCCATCCAGCGCCATCACTTCCCCATCCTGCGCTATCACTTCCCCATCCGGCACCAACACTTCCCCTCAATCACCTTTCCTGGTGGGCCCTTCCGAAATGCTTTCCCCGTCTCCCATTCCCCCCCTGCCGGCCCGGGTCGTTGCCCTCACCACATGTGTGTGCATGGCAGGTTCTTCCTGCACCTGCTGCTGCTCTTCCTGCTGCACCAGACCGCCATCGCCCTCTTCCGCCTCGTGGCAGCGCTCGCCCGCAGCACCGTGCTGGCGGCCACTGTCGCCACGTGCGCCCTCGTGCTGCTCGTCCTCCTCGGCGGCTTCCTCCTCGACAAAGGTCGCCCAACCCTCCCCTCCCAACCCTCCCCTCCCAACCCTCCCCTGCGTACAACGCATCTACACCCTCCTGTGCTCTCGCTCCCCTCCTGTAATCCTCTCCCTTTCCTCATGTTGACCCCCTCCTCCCTGCCCTCATGCCTCCCCCTCCCACTCCCTGCTCCCACGTGCTCCCATGTGCCCCTGTGTGCCCCCTGGCAGCGGACATCCACAGCGTGTGGGTGTGGCTGTACTGGCTGTCGCCCCTCATGTACGCGCAGACCGCCATCAGCGTCAACGAGTTCCTCGCGCCCAGGTGGAACGTGGTGAGTTCCTCTCTCGCTGCGAGTGGCGGGTGTGCAGGCGGGGCGGCGGGGGGTGTGGCAGCACATCCTTGTGTTGGGGCGTGTGGGTTGCAAGCACTGGTCGAGCCATCAGGGCATGGCCCGTCACGCCAGCATGTGCGCGAGTCTCTCATGTGACTCGCCACATTCCTCTGCATGCATCCCATGCCATCGTTTCCTGCACGCCCTGCTCTCTCTTCCCCTCACTCGCCGCCCTGTCACCCTCACTCGCCGCCCTGTCACCGCTCTGGTTGCGTGTGTGCATGCATGTGTGTGCATGCATGTGTGTGCATGTGTGTGCATGTGTGTGCTTGTGTCTGCATGTGTCTGCATGTGTCTGCATGTGTCTGCATGTGTCTGCATGTGTCTGCATGTATCTGCATGCATGTGTCTGGATTTGAGTGCATGTACGTGCATGCGCGTGTGTGCATGTGTGTGCATGCGTATGCATGTATGCACATGTGAGTGCATGTGTGTGCATGTATGTGCATGTTTGTGCACGTGTGTGCATGTGAGTGCATGTGTGTATGCATGTGTGTGCATGTGTGTGCATGTGCGCGCATGTGTGTGCGCACATGCGTGCAGTCTGCAGGGCCGCTCTTCCCCCCCTCGGCCACCATGGGGCAAGTGGTGCTGGAGAGCCGCTCGCTGGCCACGGAGGGCGGGTGGAGGGGCATAGGCGTGGCGGTGCTGCTGGGGTACATCGTGCTCTTCAACCTCCTCACCACCCTCGCCCTCACTTACCTCCATCGTGAGCTCTCACCCTCGGCCCTCGTCCCTGCACTCACCGCCTTCATCGCATGCATCCTGCACCGCCTTCTTGGTAGCTCGTGAGGCATCCCCACTCCCTCCTGCACTATCCACATCTCGCCCCTGGGGACCGTGTCTTTCCACGGGCGCCGTGCTTCTCCACACTGCCATCACTGCACCTAGCTTCGTTAATGGAACAGCCTTGTTGCTGCTTGTCCCTCTCACCTTACTCCCTCTCTGGCGAGAGCAGTGCCGCCTGCAGTGAGGCCCAAGTCGCAGCTGCAGGTGTCGGAAGACGTGCTTTGAGGCACCTTCAAGCAGGTTCAACCCTCAACCATGCGCCCGTGCTTCCCCCTTTCTCCACCCTCCCCCCTCTACGTGCCCACCGCCAGCTTGGGGCCGCCCGCACCCAGGAGTGTCGGAGGAGCAGCTGGAGGCGAAGCATGCGGCGCGCACAGGCGAGGTGGGGGGACTGGCAGGCGGTAGTGAGAAGCGGTCCAGGCGGCAGCGCAAGGGCACGGGCAGTGCGCTGGACCAATACTGCAGCAGGCACACGGGATCGAGAGGTGAGTCAAGCGAGATGATTGGGAGGGCGGTGGGTCCGCAGTGGAGCTGCTGGGGTCATCCGGGTGTGCTGGGCGAGGCGGCTCATCGTCAATATAACTTCATTGCCCGTCTTGCTCACAACACCGCAGCCTCGCCTCTCCCCCCTGATCCCTTTCTCCCATCCCCCCCCCATCCTTCTCCCCTCATGCCCTTGCGGCGCCCACAGACGTGGAGTCCCAGCTAGGGTCAGAGGAAGGCCAGCACGGCATGGTGCTGCCGTTTGAGCCACACTCGCTCTCTTTCCACAACGTCAGCTACTTCGTCGACATGCCTGCCGACATGCGCACCGAGGGGGCACCCCCACACGCACGCCTGCAGCTGCTGCGCTGTGTGTCGGGCGCCTTCCACCCCGGGGTGCTGACGGCCCTGATGGGTGTATCGGGCGCAGGCAAGACGACCCTCATGGACGTGCTGGCAGGGCGCAAGACCGGGGGGTTCATCGAGGGCGATGTGCGTGTCTCGGGGTTCCCCAAGGTCCACGAGACGTTTGCGCGCGTGGCGGGGTACTGCGAGCAGAGCGACATCCACACGCCGCAGGTGACGGTGCACGAGTCGCTGCTCTTCTCCGCGTGGCTGCGCCTGCCGGCGGACGTGGGGCGCGAGGTGCAGGAGGAGTTTGTGGAGGAGGTGATGGCGCTGGTGGAGCTGGACGGGCTGAGGGGCGCCATGGTGGGGCTGCCGGGGGTTAACGGGCTATCCGTGGAGCAGAGGAAGCGGCTGACGATCGCGGTGGAGCTGGTGGCGAATCCGAGTATCATCTTCATGGACGAGCCCACCAGTGGGCTGGATGCGCGTGCGGCAGCCATTGTGATGCGCACTGTGAGGAACACGGTGGACACGGGGCGGACGGTGGTGTGCACCATCCACCAGCCGTCCATCGACATCTTTGAGGCCTTTGATGAGGTGAGACTATGGGGCTCAATTCAGCAGCTTCAGCCAACCACTAGTTGGTGGGCCTTCATGGTCGTTCTGTTGGCTTAGTGGTTCGTGTCCCCTCTCACTTCCACTTATTTTCCCACTCTTGTCTCTGGTCCTGCCTCTCTTCTCCCCTTCCCCCCTCCCCTCGCCCTCGCAGCTGCTGCTCATGAAGCGCGGCGGCGAGGTGATCTACATGGGCCCGCTGGGCACCGACTCCAAGGTCATGATCGACTACTTCCAGGCCATCCCCGGCATGCCGCCCATATCTGACAGCTACAACCCCGCCACGTGGATGCTCGACATCTCCACGCCCGCCATGGCCGACAAGCTCGGCCTCGACTTTGCCGATATCTTCTGTCAGTCGGACCAGTTCCGCCGCAACGAGGCGCTCATCCTCTCCCTCAGCACGCCCGCGCCGGGCCAGCACGACCTGTCCTTCGCCACGCAGTATCCCACGAGCTACGCCGTTCAGTTTGTCGCGAACCTGTGGAAGCGCGCGCGCATGTACTGGCGTGCGCCCGACTACAACGCCGTGCGCTACTTGTTCACGGCCGCCATGGCGCTGCTCATCGGCGGGGTGTACTGGGGGCTGGGGCAGCAGCGCGCCACGCAGCAACAGGTGCTGAACGTGATGGGCGCCCTGTATACCGCGGCGCTCTTTGTGGGGTGGAACAACGCCGCATCCGTGCAGCCCATCGTGGCCGTCGAGCGCACCGTCTTCTACCGCGAGCGCGCCGCAGGGCTGTACAGCTCTCTGCCGTACGCGCTGGCGCAGGGGGCCATTGAGGTGCCGTACGTGGTGGTGCAGACGGCGGTGTACTCGCTTATCACCTTCTCCATGATCCACTTTGAGTGGACGGCTGGCAAGTTCTGGTGGTACGCGCTCTTCATGTTCCTCACGCTGCTCTACTTCACGTGCTACGGACTCATGGCCATCGCCGTGTCGCCCAACGAGCAGCTCGCCATGGTGCTCTCCTCCTCCTTCTTCTCCACCTGGAACCTTCTCTGCGGCTTCCTCATCACCAGACCTGTAAGTGCTTGCAACGCGTGCCAGGTCGATCCAAATCTCTTGCTGCTACCATGCCCTCCCTCCATCCCAGCTCTCTCCTTCAGCCTCCCACGCTGTTCTCTCTCGTCCTCCTCCCTTGCGACCTGCGTCTCCTTGTACCCATCTGCCGATACATCCATCTCCTCATCCCGCTCTCTCTGGCAGCAAATCCCGGTGTGGTGGCGCTGGTTCTACTGGATAGATCCTGTCGCATGGACCCTCTACGGCCTCAATGTCGCGCAGGTAACCATCCTCATTGCCCCTCCACTATCTTTTGCCTGCTGCTCTACTGGTGTTTTTATTGCTCCTATTCTAGGAGTGTAGTGGAGTCCTCACTTCCGAGCGTTTTCTTGCCACCACGGATCTCCTTGGCCTGGGTACCGTCTACTTTGACTACACATGCTCCTCTGGCCTGTAGCATCCAGCACACATTCCTCTTATTCCCCCCTCCCTCGTGTCCGCAATGCCTTACTATGCAGCTGGGAGATGTGACCACCACCATTCAAGTGCCAGGCATGTCGCCGGACCCCACTGTTCAAGGCTACCTGGAGGAGGTGTTTGGCTACCAGTACTCATGGCTGGGTTACGTGGTGCTTGCTCTTGCCGGTTTTGTCATTCTATTCTTCAGTGTTTTTACCTTCGCCTTGAGAAGGTTCAACTTCCAAAATCGTTGAGCATGCTGCCGAGTATCAACTCTTTGCCAAGGATGTAGATTCTTCCCAAGGTGTTTAATGACTGATATCAAGTGTAATTTTTCTTATGCATTGTCTTGTGCTTAGATTTTTTTTCCGTCCTTGTAAGTCATACTGCATGGCATATAGGTGAAGATTCAAGGAACGATACCGATGTCAGGAGCGTGTATGCTACCCCCTTTGCACAAGGCCGTCTTCTGGCGAGTACAGCGGGAAAACGAACAAACGTCGCTAGTTGCGAACGTCGCCAGAGACCCATATTTCTTGCAAAACGCGCGGGTCGCTGTCCCGACTTGAGAATGGCGACAAGTCGTGTGCTTCGTGAATCTTTACACCAGCTCCGTTTTCTTCGCCGCGTCCCAAATCCGAAAGTCCCGTCTTTCCCTCCCCTTCGCTTCGGAAACTCTCCTTCCGCCAGCCGCGCGCCACGCACCAGCAGCAAACAGCCTCCTTGGTGTGACTGACCCCTGCCCGCCGTACTGTTGTGCACTAGCGCCCCGAGACGCGCTTTCACCGTCACTTCCGGTCGAACCCACGCCAGCAGCCGCATGTCATTCCTTGAAAATGGCGACGTTCGCATCACTGGTCAGACATTCGATTTGTTACATCCTGAATTCGCTTATGTGCACACACTTGGGTTGTAGTTCTCAGTTTTCAAGCCTGCACCTCGCAGACGGCAACCGCCGCAAGAGCAGACAGCAGCAGACGCGCGCCATCTTTTGTCGCACCCAGCATGGAGGCCCGCAGCCAGCACGTGACTTCACCGTCGCCACTCGCTGTGAATGCCATCGGGGGTAGTTCTGTCGACTCGGACGGCGCTAACTGCGTGGATGCAGCGACTGAGATGGACGAACGATGGTTGGGGGAATCCAGTACGCCGTCGCCGCAGCAGCAGCAGCAGCAACAACAGCAAGAGCAGCACGATTCAGCTGTTACTCGGCGCGTAAATCAGCAGCGCCGTGTCCTGCCTGTGTGCGCCCTATTCGTCGCACCTCGCGTCTTCGGCGGTAACGACGTGTGGGCTGCTTCCAAGCCTGGCGCTGCCGCCTTCACTACTAGCGCGGCCGCCGCTGCTGAAACGGGTGAGGAGCAGCTGGGGGGGACAACCAAGCAGATGAAGCACGGCGACAAGGGTGAAGCAGCTGACGAATGCGACGATTGCGACAGCTCGGCCGACGCGTCCGACGACAATGTGGGCGACTCTGACGACGACGCGTCCGTGGCGTCTACCTTCTCGTGCTTATCGAGGGACACGTCAGCCTCGTCAGCACTGTCCGATTCGTCCTCATCCGTACAGGCGGCTAACGACGAGCAGCGCGCCACCAGGGAGTGCGATTATGAAGAAATCCATCTGCCCGACGATCTCTACACGGTCGACGTACCCATAAACGCCTCGGCACAAGGCAGCCCGCAGCAGGCGGCCATGGCGAGCAGCGTGGTCCGACAGCTTCAGCTGCCGCACGCGAGCCCCTACTCGCGAGAAATGCTTTCGAAACACATGCACGTGCAGCAGCGGGTGTTCGGGGAACATCAGCGACGAATGCTATGGCTGCAGCAGCAGGTGATGCAGCAGCACGCGCAGCAGCACCGGATGCAGAGCAGTGCGGCGGGGTGGCAGTCAGGAGGAATGCCCCGGCGAGCTTTCGTTCCCCCGCGCTTCCGCCGGCCTCAAGGCCCCGCGGGCACGGGAGTGTTCCTGCCTGGAACCTCCTGACGGGTGCTAATGGTTACTACGGACTTGGATGCGCTCCTTAGCGCTAACCCTAAACGCGGACTGGCGTGTGGTACTACCACCTGCCAGCCTGCTCTGCTTCACTATAAGTGATTTGTGGGGCTGTGCGCAATGATAAGTGATAAGTGGTCTCTGCAGCAACTCATCCGCACCAAAATAAACCCAGCATCACACTGTACAAAAAATCAACCCACATCTTCATATGTTACAAAATAAATACCATTACCACCATTATGTCCACCAGGCCTGACGTTTCAAAAAAAGGCACTCTGAGCCAACTCCCCCCAAATAAAAAATAGTCTGAAGGGCCTTCAGCCGAAATTTCGGTAGTCTGAAACGTCAGGGTCCATAACTCAGCGAGTCTGATTTTTCTCAGGGTCCAGCACATACAACCAGAGTCGCATACGGGAAACACCCCCACAGCGAGAAACATCCCTCCCATACCCCAAAAAAACGGCTAAGTCCCTTGCAGTGATAAAAAATCCTCCCACAAACTCCCCAACCAGCAACCCTGCTCATACCCTCCTTTTGGGTAGATGTTAAAAGTAGGTAACGCGGAAACCATTCCTAAAAACCGAGGGGGAACATTCGCACTGCCCACGGAAATCGAAACTGAGGGGAGGGGGAATCAAAACCGACGGGGAAATGGGGAGGGAATCAAAATGGAGGGGAGGAGGGAAGCGAAACGGAGGAGGGAAGGGGGGGGGAGGGGGAGATCGAAACGGTTTGAGGGGGGAAGCGAAACGGAGGGGGGGGGGGAATCGAAAATGGAGGGGGAGGGGGGAATCGAAACGGTGGGGAGGGGGGAAGTGTCGTAAAGATAAGACTAGGACGCGATGAGTATGGCGGCGGGGTTTAGCTAGGAGGTAGACAAAATGTCGAGAGAGAAGAGAGGATCGACTAGAAGAGAATGAGGTACAAGGGGGTTATCCCCTCTACAGTAGGATGCAATTAGTAGCATAACTACCAAGCCTACAATTATATAAAATATAATTTTAACACACCCCCTAGGCTTGGTAGTCACAAGCCCACCCAACACCCACACACCCCCTAATCCCGTACACCCTCATGCTCGTGAGCAGCCGGGTATCGACCCCTCGTGCTAGGCGATGACACCCCCGGACGAGAGGCAGCTGGCGGCATCTGGGCGGCCTCACTGACGACAGCGGCGGAGCTCGGGCTCAAGGCGGCTGCGTCGATGAAGGCAGGCGGCGATTGCGGCGGCTGAGGGCTCTCGGCGGTGTGGCACGACCCGGCGACGACCGAACCGAAGACAGAAGCCGCGGCAGGAGGAAGAGGAGACGCAAGGAGAAGGGGTGGGGCGGGGGATCTTCAGCGCGGCGCCATTGCTGGCGCGGCGCTTACTGGCGGGCGGGCGGGCTGCACGTCCAGCAGCGACACAGGTGGTGCGCGATGGCAACAGGCCGATGACATAGCCACGGCATCATGACGACGCCACCACAGCGTGGCGTCGTTGCCACGGCTGCTCGTCGACGCTGGGACGACAGCGCACAAGGGCCGCCGCGGCATCTTGTAAAAAGTGCCACGGCGGCAGGCAGTAGGAAGGCCGCGACGGCGGCGAACAGGGAATGAGAACGCAGCGGAAGCAAGGAGGGGAGCAGGCCCAGGACGGGCGTCCTGCTCTGGTACCATGTCGTGAAGATAAGACTAGGACGCCATGAGTATGGCGGCGGGGTTTAGCTAGGAGGTAGACAAAATGTCGAGAGAGAAGAGAGGATCGACTAAAAGAGAATGAGGTACAAGAAGTGGGTTATCCCCTTTACAGTAGGATGCAATTAGTAGCATAACTACCAAGCCTACAATGATAAAAAATATAATTTTAACACGAAGCTGGTGTTAGAATGCGAGAATAAGGGCGAATTCCTACAAAGTAGGATCAGAATCAGAAACGCGACATTCATTCGTGATCCCCTTGCCCGGTCTTCAACGCTAAGGTCAGAAACGATGGTGCCACCACAGCATCGCACAGGGACCTCCGATTGGCTGCCCCTACAAACACATTCGAGACAGCACCCAACGAGCACTAAGCAAGCGCCGCGTGGCATAAGCGCGCCGACGCGCGACGTGCAACGAAGCGGAACTCTGAAAAGCGGGAAACCCACATACGGCACGCGATGGGCACAAAAACGGATTTCGTAGGTGCTTCTGCTGGCTTCGACTTTCCGCATGTGAATTCCTTTGCTCGTGATTGGAGCACATGTTTCCCACCAGTCTGGTTATGCGTGGCGAGGAGTTTGCAACTGTACTGTAAACTTGCGTGGTCAAGTCTGGACAGTAGAAGTGAAATTTGTCATGAAAGTGAGGGATGTACACGTAGGATCGTGCGAAGTATCCAGGACCTTGGCGTCACCACTACGTTCCCTGGTCAAGAGCGGTATGCTCTCTGTACTGAGGCCGCCAGTGGTGCCCCCCTTACCACGTTCCCCCGGGACCCGGTGTCCGGCCTGTTCACACTGGACACCGTGACCCCCTCGGCTGGGGCGCCCCCCCAGGTAGCTGCGTCTACCCAGGTTGCTGCTGCCTGCTCCTGTCGGTCCTTCACTCACCCGACACTCCTGTGGCACCATCGCCTAGGTCACCCTGCGCTCTCGCGTCTGCGTCACATGTCACAGCACGGTCTCGTCCTTGGTCTCCCCAGTTCGTTCCCCGAGTTTCCCTCCTCCCCCGCCCCACCGTGCACGCCTTCTGTCGAGGGTCGGCTTCGCCGTGCTCCTCACTCCTCCTCTTTTCCCCCTACCGCCGCACCGCTGCAGACCCTGCACATGGACGTCTGGGGCCCCGCCCCCGTCCATGGGCCACGTCGAGAGCGCTACTTCCTAGTGCTTGTCGATGACTTTACACGCTACACCACGGTCTTTCCCTTGGAGCGGAAGGCCGACGTGCCTGACGTTCTCATCCCCTGGCTTGTCGCTGCGCGTGTCCACCGCGGTCTCCCTGTCTTGCGTCTCCACTCCGACCGTGGTGGCGAGTTTGCCTCATGTGTCCTTGGTCGGTTCTGTCGTGCGGAGGGTATCACCCAGACGTTCACCCTGCCAGACTCCCCGCAGCAGAATGGGGTTGCTGAGCAACGCATCGGTTTGGTCATGGAGGTGGCTCGCACCTCCATGATTCATGCCGGTGCACCCCATTTTCTGTGGTCGTTCGCCGTGCGCTACGCTGCTCACTAGCTTAACCTGTGGCCGCACCCCTAGCAGCCGCAGGTTTCGCCAAACCTTCTTTGGTCTGGGTCTCCTGGTGATGCGTCTGCATTTCACGTCTGGGGCTGCCTTGCTCATGTTCGTGCCTCCGGCACGGACAAGCTCACTGCCCGCACCCTTCCCTGTGTCTTCATTGGTTTTCCCCTTGACGAGTCCGTCTCCTTCTACCGCCGCTTCCCCCACCGAGGTCCCCCGGTTACTCCCCCTGTATTCTTGGTCACTCCTTCCCTGGTGGTCCCTGCCCCCCCCCTCCCCCTCCCCCTCCTGCCCCCTCTAGTGTGTCCTACGTCACCCCCCTCCCGTCGGTTGTCCCGGTCGAGGAGTCTTCTGACTCTGGTAGTCCTGCGGCGCAATCCCCGCCGTCTGCCCCTCCCCAGGTGTCTCCTCCTCCACCGCCTCCGCAGCCGCCGTCGCCTCTGCTGTCGCAGCCGTCATCTCCACCGCCGCCGCCGCCGCAGCCGTCGTTGCAGCCGCCGCCGCCGCCATCGTCACACCAGCAGTTCGTTGACTCTGGGGGTGCTGGCGTTGGGGTGGGTACTAGTCTTGGGGCTCGTGTCGTGGCTTGTCCCGGCGGGCATGGGGGTGGTACCGATGCTGGAGGGGTTTCAGGCTCTGGGGGTGTTCCTTCTGGGGGTGCAAGAGTGGAGTGTTCCGGAGGTAGCCGAGGAGCAGCTTGCGGTCCCGGTGTCGGTGTTGTGCCGCCGCAACAGCAGTCCTCGCCGGTGTCAGTCCTTCGCCTGCTCGGCCTTCCGTCCCCTGACCCTGCATCTGTTCCTCTCTTGCCGTCTCCTCCTCTTCCTGTCTACGGCCCTGTGTTCCCTCCGCCGGACTCGTCCCCGGCTCGTCTTCCCCCTCGTTCCCCCCTTGTGTCCCCTCCTCTGTCTCCTGACCCGACGCCTCCGTCTCATGTCTGGTCTCGCTGTCCCTCCCGCGCTCGTCCTGTCTCCCCTGTCACGCGCTCTCACCCTATGTTGCTCCGTTCCCACACGTCTCATCCTCCCCTCCTACTGTTGCCACCTCCGTCCTCTCTTGCCGTTGCGCGTCCTCCTCTGTCTAACTACCTTCGTACCGCTCGTCCTCTTGTTCCTCGGGTCCTTGCCTCTCTCGTTACCGACCCGTCCGTTCCGGTCTCGTGTCTTGACGCTCTTATAGCTGCGGTCGCTAACTTCGCCTCTACCCGCCGCCTTGAATACGCCACCGCTCTGGTCTCTGACCCTGCCTGTCCTCCGTCCATCAGGGGTGCTCCTGCCCTCGCCAGTGACGTACTGGAGGACCGCCAGTTCGAGCTTGCTTTCCTGTCTGAGGCTGCTCCCCAACTTTGTTCCATGCTGCTAGTCCCTGAGGGTGACCCAGACGCTTTCGACATCCCGACCCCTCGCACTTACGCTGCGGCGGTTTCGAGACCTTGGGCCTCTCAGTGGATAGCTGCCATGGAGCAAGAGATGCCATCTTGGAGATCCACCGGCACCTACGTCGACGGAGTTCCCCCACCTGGGGTGAATGTAGTCGATGGCCGCTAGCTCTTCAAGGTGAAGCGCCCTCCTGGAGAGCCGCCTGTGTTTACGGCGCGCTACGTGGCTAGAGGTTTCTGTCAGCATGAGGGGGTGGACTTCTTTCAGACCTTCGCTCCGACCCTGAAGATGACTACTCTTCGGGTGCTGCTACACGTAGCAGCACAGTGTGACTACGAGCTTCACTCCCTCGAATTCTCCACTGCCTTTCTTCAGGGCAGTCTACACGAGCAGGTCTACCTGCGTCGCCCTCAGGGGTTCACTGGCACCTTCCCTCCTGGGACCCAGTGGCTCCTGCGGCGCCTAGTCTACGGCCTGCGGCAGGCTCCTTGTGAGTGGCACAACACGCTGCGTGCTACCCTTGCTGACCTGCAGTTCTTTCCGTCGTCTGCAGACCCCTCGCTCTTCGTTCGTGCTGGCCAGACTCCGTTCTCCATCATTGTTTACGTAGAGGACCTGGTCTTTGGCACCGCA